GACATAATACTTACCAATATGTTTCCAATCAGGGAGCATCACAATATATAAAGCAACTACTAGTAGAACTAAAGGAAGAAACTGACAAAAACACAATTATAGTAGGGGACCTAAATAGCCTATCAAGAACTATGGATAGACCATCCAAACAGAAAATCAATAAGGAAATATCAGCCTTAAATGACACATTAGATCAAATGGACATAATCGACATTTATAGAACCTTTCATCCCAGAACACCAGATTATACATTCTTCTCTAGTGCACATGGAACATTCTCAAGAATAGAACACATGTTGGGACCCAAAACTAGCCTCAACAAATTTAAGTAGATTGAAATTATACCAAGCATATTCTCCGAACATAATGCTTTGAAGCTGGAGATAATTGCAAAAAGAAAGCAGGAAATACCATAAATATGTGGAGATTTATGCTACTAAACATGCTACTAAACAACGACTGGGTCAAAGATGAAATAAAAGGAGCGATCAAAAGATACATAGAAGGGGTGGCCGGGTGGCTCAGTTGGTTAGAGCGCTCTGAGCAACAGGGTTGCCGGTTCAAATCCCACATGGGCCAGTGAGCTGCACCCTCTGCAACTAGATTGAAGACAACGACTTGAGCTAAGCTTCCAGTGAGCTGCCAGTGAGCAGCCAGATGGCTCAGTTGGTTAGAGCACAGACTCTTAACAACAAGGTTGCTGGTTCAATCCCCACATGGGATGCTGGGCTGCACTCCCCAAAACTAGATTGAACACAGTGACTGGACTTGGAGCTGAGCTGTGCCCTTCACAACTAATGTTGAAGGACAACAACTTGACTTGGAGCTGATGGGTCCTGGAAAAAATACACTGTTTCCCACCCCAATAAAGTTAAAAAAAGGTGTGTTGCTTAAAAAAAAAGATACATAGAAACAAATGAGAATGAAAATACAACATGTCAATATTGGGATGCAGTAATAAGAGGAAAATTTATATCATTGCAGGCCTATCTCAAAAACAATAAAATCCCAAATAAACAACCTAACATTACATCTAAAAGAACTAAAAGAAGAACAAATGAAACCCAAAGTCAGCAGAAGGAAGGAAATAATAAAAATTAGGGCAGAATTAAATGAAATAGAGAACAAAAAGACAGTAGGAGAAAATTAATGTAACAAAGAGCTGGTTCTTTGAAAAGATTAATAAAATTGACAACACCCTGGCTAGACTCACTAAGGAAAAAACAGAAAAGACACAAACAAAATCAGAAATGAAAGAGAAGTTACAATGGACACCACAGAAATATGAAGGATTGTACAAGAATACTATGAAAGATTATATGCCACCAAATTCAATAACCTAGAAAAAATGGACAAGTTCTTAGAAATATATAACATTGCTAGGCTGAATCATGAAGAACTGGAAAATCTAAATAGATAGATCAACAGTAAGGAAATTGAAACAATCATCCAAAACCTCCCCCAAAGCAAGTCTAGGACCAGATGGCTTTACTAGTGAATTCCACCAAACATTCAAAGATGATTTAATACCTATCCTTCTCAAGCTCTTCCAAAAAATTGAAGAAGAGGTAATATTTCCTAACTCATTTTATGAGGCCAATATTATGCTGATACCAAAACCTAGTAAAGATAACACAAAAAAGAAAACCCACAGACCAGTATCTCTTATGAATACAGATGCAAAAATCCTAAACAAAATACTAGCAAATCAAATATATTAAAAAGATTATACATCACAACAAAGTGGGGTTCACTCCAGGGGCACAAGGATGGTTCAACATATGCAAATGGATCAATGGGATATACCACATTCACAAAATAAAGGATAAAAATCATATGATCATATCAATAGATGTAGAAAAACCATTTGACAAGATACAACATCCATTTATGATTAAAATGCTTAATAAAATGGGTATAGAAAAAAAGTACCTCAAACATAATAGATACTATATACAACACACCCTTAGCTAATATCATATTGAATGGTGAAAAACTGAAAGCTTTTCCTCTATGATAAGCAACAAGACAAGGATACCTCTCTCACCACTTATTCAACATAGTATTGGAAGTCATAGCCAGAGCAATCAGGCAAGAGAAAGAAGTAAAAGGCTCCAAATTGGGAATGAAGAAGTCAAATGATCACGTTTTGCAGATGACATGATTCTTTATACGGAAAACCCTAAAGAGTCCACCAAAAAAACTATTAGAAACAATAAACAAAAATAGTAAAGTAGCAGGATACAAATTCAATGTACAAAAATCACTTGCATTCCTATATACTAATAATGAAATTTCAGAAAAAGAAATGAAAGAAACAATTCCTTTTGCAATTGCAACAAAAAAAAGAATAAAATACCTAGGAATAAACTTAACAAAGGACGCGAAGGACCTATACACTGAAAACGATGACATTACTAAAAGAAATTGAAGACAACACAAAGAAATGGATATTCCATGTTCATGGATTGGAAGAATCAATATAGTTAAAATGGCCATATTACCCAACACAACATACAGAGTTAATGCAACCCCATCAAAATTCCAATGGCATTTTTAAAAGAAATAGAACAAAAAATCAT